TGAAGACATGGCCATCTGGACTATTGTACGGAGGTCCCCAAACCCCAAACCCCCGGAATATAGGAACTGCTATGCCGTTCCAGTCCAGCAAGGTATTATAATTACGTTGCACCCTAGATTTTCCTACAGACGGGCCCCTAAGCCCGGAATATCCAACCACTCCCCCCCAAACAATCCTATAAATCCCTGTATATCTCCATATATCCTCTATGTAATCCCTACATACCCCTTTTAATTAATCTAACCCCTACATACTTCCAGTATTATCCACCCCCCAAAAAAAAACAGCAGTCCCAAGGATTGGACCATCGTCCCATTCTGCCCGGGATCGTCAGCAGACGTCTGCATATTTTGAACCTGGACCGTAAACCCTAAACCCTAAGCCCTAAGTCATCATTGGGGACAGTTCAGGTTGAATTAGCCGTTTTGGGATGCAGAGCTTGAGGTTTGAGGCTTAGGGATTTAAGGCTAAGGGCTGAGGATTTAGGGTTAAGGGCTTGAGGCTTAGGGATTGGGATTCAAGGCTTTTGGGGCTTCGAAGGGATTGTAAGTGGCACGCACATCTCTGAACCTTCCGGACTTCCACTAGACTACTGCATATTATGCCCATGGATGCACTCATACGCACCGAAAAATACCCTAAACCCCGAAACGCTGAAGCTCTGTACCCCTCCTTCATGCTCAACCATTCGTGTGGTATCTTCAAAGTTGGCAGCCTGCATTGGCGTGAAGCTCATCGGCATGCGCGCGCCCATGGAGTTCATAGCCGCATTCCTGCATGCTCGGGTGTATCAGTGTTGGAGCTTCAGGACTTTGGGTCCAGGGTCTGCGGGCTTTCCGTTTGGGATCTCGGGCTCCAGGGATGTGAAAATGGGATGTGACCCCTGAAGATACAGCATCAAACAGGAAGAATACAATTAGGTTGGTCGGGTTTTTTTGGTGGTAATAAGCTACAAGAGATAGTTTCCCTAAATAAGGGTCCTCCTACATATGTATATATATATATGTATATGCATACATACGCCCAAATACGTCCTTATCATGGCGACCCCCACAAAGAACCCCACCCCCACAATTGGGCGGCCCATAATTGCTAGGATTCAGAGCCAGCACTAGGGGCCCACAATCCAGGGTGTTTAGATTGTTGGGCGTGCTTAGGGTGTTTAGGTTTTAGGACTTAGCTTAGTTAAGAGCAATCGCACTTCAGGGATGAACGGATCCTGGTCATCATGACCATGACGATTGTACGAATCATCACCATGACAGTTAAAAATTACCACTCCTACTTCTACTTTTAGTGTTGCAGCTATTGCTACTACTGCTACAACTGCTGCTACTGCTACTGCTACTGCTACTGCTACTGCTACTGCTACTGCTACTCCTACTCCTACTCCTACTCCTACTACTACTACTACTACTACTCCTACTGCTGCTGCTGCTGCTGCTGCTGCTGCTGCTGCTACTGCTAATGCTAATGCTAATTTTACTGCTACTACCATTACGATTCCGTTGTCAGTACTATGATTACGAACAAGTATTACAACTGACTATTAACATCACTCTTATGATATTACTATGCTGCCATATTATACTTTTCCTACATATTATATATTACGTAATATGTTACTACTATCACTACCAGTACCACGACCACGATGAGGCTACCACGACCACGCTACCTTGCTACCACGACCACGCTACAACGCTGCAAGGACCACTACCACGATACCACGCCACCGCCCGCCGCCGCCGCCGCCG